AAACAAAAGTAAACTTGAGATTAAGTGAACGCAACACAATTCTTATTTTCCCAAGGTGATTCTTTTGATTTTTTTTAAATGTTAAAATACATTTTAAAATGCAGGCCAGGCACGGTGGCTCAAGCCTGTCATCCCAGCACTTTGGGCAGATCACATGAGGCCAGGAGTTTGAGACCAACCTGGCCAACAAAGAGAAACGCCATCTCTACTAAAAATACAAAAAATTAGCTGGATGTGGTGGTGCACTCCTGTAATCCCAGCTACTCAGGAGGCTGAGGCGAGAGAATCAACTCACTCAAACCCGGGAAACAGAGGTTGCAGTGAGCCAAGATCGCACCACTGCACTCCGGCCTGGGAGACAGAAAAAGACCGTGTCTCAAAGAAAAAATTGTTTGGTACTCACAGTTTCCTGGTGTCTTTTTTTTTTTTTTTAAGTGAAATAATGTCATATTTATTATCCTTGGTAGTACTGGTGTCTGAAGCATGTGAATAACTCGTCATTGATCAAAGGGGAGGGGCCCTGCCCAGGCCTCTGCTGCTTGGCTCCCTGGAGAAAGCCTCGCTTCCATCCTCACTCCCCACCAAGAGGCCCTTATTTCTCTGAAACCCTCCTCAAAGGACAGGGTGCTTTAGCATGACCTCCTCTTCGTCAGATTTAGGGCTTGGTGCTGGGGAGTATATGGGAGGACGGAGAGACCTGATTCCCTCAAGACGTCCTCATCCAGGAGGCTGAGGTGAGAAGTAAACAAGCCACTGCAGTGTGCAGTGCGCAGATGGACAGACAGACAGATGGACGGATGACGGACGTGCCCAGGAACTCCAAGCAGGCAAGACCCCTGGAGACTATGGCAGTCAGGCTTCCTGGAGGAACACGGAGCTGGAATTCAGTTTTTAGGACAGGAAAAAGGAGCAAAATGAATGAGAAATTCTTATTTTTTTCCACTAACTTTAAAGATAATAGAGGTTTGTATAGAGAAGTAAAGCAACAGAGAAAATAAAAAGAAAGTAAAAATAGTTCCAACTCACACTTGCTGGCTGTGTGCCCAGCAGTGTTCTAAGTGCTTTACACATACTCACATTTAATTTTTACAACAACCCTATGAGAAGGCACCACTTTTATCCCCGCATTGCACATAAGAAAACTGAGGCCCAGATAGGTTAACTTATTTGCCAGCAGGGAACTAAGTGATGAAGCTGAAATTTGACCGAGGCAGTTTGACTCCAGAGCCAAGATCTTAGGCAACCATCTAAATGCAGGTAACCCATCTAAACATTCATACATTGAGCATCTACCACATGCCAGGTACCCGCTAAACTCCAGATTCATGCGTCTGACTGTTGGCTGTGGTCTCCTACTTGAGCACATAGGATAGAAAAACATGATTTCTGGAAGTAACTTGTTGAGCATCTTCATGCCATGGTGGGGTTGGGGATATTGTGACGGGTGCTGCTGAGCCTGTGCGAGGCCAAGTATTCATGCAGAGAAACAAAGAGACTTGGGACAAATTAAGATTGTATTGCTGGCTGAGCGCAGTGGCTCAGCCTGTAATCCCAGGACTTTGAGAGGCTGAGGCAGGCGGATCATTTTAGGTCAGGAGTTTGAGACCAGCCTGCCCAACATGGTGAAACTGCGTCTCTACTAAAAATACAAAATTTAGCTGGGTATGGTGGCATGTGCCTGTAATCCCAGCTACTCGGGAGGCTGAGGCAGGAGAATCATTTGAATCAGGAAGGCAGAGGTTGCAGTGAGCTGAGATCATGCCATTGTACTCCAGCCTGGGGTCAAGAGCAAAACTCCACCTCAAAAAAAAAAAAACAAAGATTGTATTGCAAAAGGTGTTGAAGGCCACCATAAAGAGTTTGAACCTCGGACCTTGTTGACAGTGAAAAGCCACAAGGCCTTTGGAACCAGGAATGCCACAGAATGAAAATGGTGCTTTGAGAATATGTATGTGTCTAGAGGGAAATTTGGCAAAATATGCCCTACTTTTGCTTGTTTATTTGTTTTTAGGGACGGAGTCTTGCTATGTTGCCCAGGCTGGACCCAAACTGGGCTCACCGTATCTTCCCACCTCAGCCTCCCAAGCAGCTGGGACTACAGGTGTGCACCACCACATCTGGCTTGCTATTTGAAAAATAATAATAATGTTTTTGAAAGGTAGTATATACCCACAGTCGAACATTTCTATGAGTTCGAAAATTAGGTTTCTCCCTGACTTCTCGTTTCTACCACTTCTTTTTTTTTTCACCTTACTTTTTGTTTTTAACTTAGCAATGTACCTAGGAGACTGTTTAATATCAACATGTATCAATCTGCCTCCTCTTTTTAAATAGCAATATAGTATTTGATTACATGGATAGATCATAATTTATCTCACTAATGAAGACAGGAGAGTTTTCACTCTTTCTGTTATAACCAATGTTGCAATAAATATCCATGTACTTAAATCTTTCCACACTTCTGGATCCATCTGCCAGACAAATTTCTGCACGTGGAGTTGCTGCCTTGAAGAGCGGGTTCGCCTCAACAATTCCACTTTGCAGAAATTGTCCCATCATAGAAGCACACAAAAATACATGCAAAAAATTACATTTATTTATAAGGGCAAGAAATGAATTCCTATCAATTTAAGAAGGGTCAGTAAATTATGTAAATTCACACAAGAGATGACATTAATAATGACAATGCAGAGCTATATTCTGTGATTTGAAGAGGGAGCACCATAATTGATCAAGCAAAAAGGACAGGTTACAAAACAGTTTCTATCTATGATGCGATTCATGTAAATGTATTGCCATGTGTATACAGCCACATGCACGTATGCTTTCTTCTTTCCCTGTATTGCTTGAATTTTGTACCTGAGTTTATATTGTCTTTATAGCCAGAAGAACAATTAAGCTGCTTCTAAAGCATCTGATTATTCCCTAGGCACAGATTTTAATTTGTGAAGCACCCACTCTATGCCTGGCATTGGGGTGCCCTGAACTGCCGAAGGCTTTGGCTCCTGTCATTTCTAGCCTGATCATCAGAATCAGAGAATGTTGGGACCGGTAACACCTAGTTCACACCCTTATTTTACAGATGAAGGCATTAAGGCCCAGAGAAGGTAAGTGACCTGCTGAAGGTCACACAGTCAGTTTGGCCCAGAGATAACAGAACCCAGGATTCTAATACCAGGCTATGATGCTCATAAACCGATTACAGGCTGGGTGTGGTGGCTCACACTTGTAATCTCAGCACTTTGGGAGGCCAAGGTGGGCAGATCACCTGAGGTCAGGAGTTTGAGACCAACCTGGCTAACAGGGCGAAACACTGTCTCTACTTCAAATTCAAAAAATATTAGCTGGGCGTGGTGCACACGCCTGTAGTCCCAGCTACTTGGGAGGCTGAGGCAGGAGAATCGTTTGAACCCGGGAGGCAGAGGTTGCAGTGAGCTGAGATTGTGCCACTGCACTCCAGCCTGTGTGACAGAGTGAGACTCTTGTCTCAAAAACAAAACAACAACGACAAAAACAGCACAAATCATTATTTGGGGTCTCGAGGAGGAGAGGGCAGTGATTTTGATGCCCTGTGCTCTGGGAGCTCCCGTCCAGGCAAACCCAGGATGAAAGATAAAAGGGCCCCGAATAAGACCATCATTAGTGGGGAGGAGCCTGACCCTGCACAGGCAGAAAAGCAGCTTCAGCAGGGCCCAAGGTCTGCAGGGCACAGTCTGTAGGGTGTTGAGGAAGGAGCTGCCCTGGCCTGGTGCCAGATGTCAGTAATTATAAGGCTACGTGGGCCTGCAGACAGCCCATTAAAGATGCTTGATCTGCGTGAAACCAGCAAGCAGAACTCAGCTTCTTTGCCACTTTCTGTAAGAAATCCAACCATATCAAACACTTTGGGGTTTTTACGCAGTTTTCTGAATACTGGGTTGATCCCATGGCATGGTGTCATCACACTGTGCTCAGCACAGTTGTCTCCTTGCCCCTCCTTGTCATCCTTCCCTCGATTTTACCCCTCCCCCTTCCCATTTCTCACTGGCCCAGGCCACATCCAGCCTCCGATAGCCCCAAGTCGTCCATTAAAGCATTTCTCCACAAAAAGAAATCTACCCCACCAGCTCCCGTGAAAATAAAATCCCCGCTATTTCATTACACAAAAGACTTTAGATGCCTCGAATTCCAGCATCTTCAAGCCCAGAATCTTAGACTTTGAGCTGGAATGGCCCTGAAGAATAATTGAGTCCAGTCCCTTTAGCTTATAGGTAGAAACACCAAGGTTCCAGGAGGGGAGGGGTCTTGCCCAAGGTCATGGGACACCCATGGCGACCAGGTCTCGAAGCTCCTGGCTGAAGGCCACTCACAAAGTCAGGGCAGGTGGGCCTAGCCTGTGAGCCAGAGCCAGCCCTCCTCTTTTTCTTGTCTGCCTCCTCTCAAGAGTCTGGTGTCCACTAAGGGAGCCTAGTGGCCCTGAAGGAGGATTGTGGACCTCTGCCTCTTTAGATGCCTGCAGAACAGAGAGGAGCTGTGCACCCAGGAATCTCCTGGTCTCACCCAGGAATCTCCTGGTCTCACCCAGGAGGGGAAAGGGAGCCCAGACTGACCTAGCTCTGCAGGATATAACCGTGTACCTTGGGGTCCTCACGCTGAGCCTCCGTTTTCTCATCTGAGGGCTGTTGTGAGGGATAAAAATGGCCAACCATAAATCCTAGTTCCCTCCCACTCTCCCTCTCCTTCCCTGTTCTGTTTCTTGCCAGCCTTATGATCTTTCTGAGCCTCAGTTTCTCCACAGTCCCGCTCCCAACTCCACGTTTCCAAGGTCTCTTGGCCGGAGCCACTCCCATGGTAAACCCCTCTAGGTGCACGCCAGAGCAATTACCAGGTGATTCTGTGTCTCATGGCTGTCACTGCTGGGGTGGAGGGCCACGCCTCCTCTTTTGAATTCTGACTTTGCTGCCTAGGAGTGTCCCGAGGTTTTCCTTGTTAAAATTGGTCTGGCTGGCTGCTGTGACACACCACACCGTCCTGACACTGCACACACCACTGTGTGGAGGAAGAGGGGAGTCCAGCTGGCCATCGCATGGCAGGTGAGTGGGCAGAGCCTGGGGCTTTAGGGGTCCAGGATTCATGAGAGGGGCTTCAAGAAACAGGGATCTGTGGGATGATGTGTGATCATCGATTGTCAGGATTTTATAGGAGGACAGTCCCCCATGAACACATGAACTCTTCATGTGTGCTCCTGAGGCCCAGGATGAAAAAAGCCAGCCCTAGACCACCCAGCAAGTCCATGGCAGAGGCTGGCTCAAGCACTGCCTCCTAGGCTGGGGCCAGGTGTCACCCCTGTGCCTCACAGGACGGAAGGAGGCGGGCACAGGAAGGCAGGGGCAGAAGAAATAAAATCTTCTCACACTCCATGCACATTCCATGGACCCAGAGACATTTCTGGGCATAGTTGGGGACTGTGGCCTGGGTGGGAAGAAGTGAGAGGGCCCATAGGCTGCATCCTCGCCTGATTCCCACCCCAAGCACTCCAGGGCAAGAGCAGCTCTGGCTGAGGTGCAAAGAGGTACATGACCTTGAGGAAGAAAATTTGCCCTTGGTACCTCTGTTTTCTGATCTGTGCAATGGGGATTATAATGCAGATTATCTCACAGGCCTGCTGTGAGGAGTTGGTGAGGCCGTGTGTGCAGTTTCCTCACCACACTTCTCAAGTGGGGACTTGTAAACCACAGAAAATGGGAGTCAGGCGTGGTGGCTCGCGCTCTAATCACAGCACTTTGGGAGGCTGAGGTGGGTGGATTTCTTGGGCTCAGGAGTTGGAGACAAGCCTGGGCAATATGGCAAAACCTTGTCTCTACAAAAGAAAATACAAAAATTAGCTGGGCATGGTGGCGGGCACCTGAAATCCCAGCTATTTGGGAGGCTGAGGTAGGAAGACAGCTTGAGCTTAGGGAGCCGAGGTGACAGTGAGCCAAGATCATGCCACTGCACTCCAGCCTGGGCAACAGAGTGATACCCTGTCTCAAAAAAAATAAAGAAAGAAAATGTATCTCCCACAACCTCAATATAGCGAGCAGCAAATTCCCTCCGCAAGAACTTGTCAGTTAGATGCTGGGGTCCAGTAATGAGCAAGTCAGCAGAACCAGGGCTCCTACACTGACAGGTATTGAAGGGGCGTTTCTGAGTCTGTGCCTCCAGTTTTAATTGTTCGGCATTATGTGACAGCCTTATGAATCAACTATTTGTTTTTATTGTGCTTTAAGCTCTGGGGTACATGTGCACATCCCGCAGGGTTGCTGTGTAGGTACACACATGCCATGGTGGTTTGCAGTCTCCGTCCCTCCCGTCGCCTACGTCAGGCGTTTCTCCCAGTGTTTTCCCTCCTCAGCCTCCCAAATAGCTGGGATTTCAGGGAGCCTAGCGGCCCTGAAGGAGGATTGTGGACCTCTGCCTCTTTAGATGCCTGCAGAACAGAGAGGAGCTGTGCACCCAGGAATCTCCTGGTCTCACCCAGGAATCTCCTGGTCTCACCCAGGAGGGGAAAGGGAGCCCAGACTGACCTAGCTCTGCAGGATATAACCGTGTACCTTGGGGTCCTCACGCTGAGCCTCCGTTTTCTCATCTGAGGGCTGTTGTGAGGGATAAAAATGGCCAACCATAAATCCTAGTTCCCTCCCACTCTCCCTCTCCTTCCCTGTTCTGTTTCTTGCCAGCCTTATGATCTTTCTGAGCCTCAGTTTCTCCACAGTCCCGCTCCCAACTCCACGTTTCCAAGGTCTCTTGGCCAGAGCCACTCCCCACCCGCAACCTACTCCAGTGTGTCAACTATTTTTTTTTTTACTTTCAAAGGCAGGTATTTTAATTTCCTCGTCATAGTCTAGCTTCCTCTTCATATTTCTTCCTGGTAGTTAATAGCATTACTGAACAGGCTCTGCCCTTCAGGCTCCTAAGATAGGTCTGTTCTCCTAAAAACCAGGCCTTGCCAACCCCAGCTCACAGCCCAGACTGCCTGTTTCCACAGCTGGGGTTGCCTCCCTGGTGGCCTGGGTACACAGGAGATCGACTGCCTTTGTTCCTTCAAGATCTGCTTTTCAAGGCTCACCTAGATGATCCCTCTTCCCTAGGCATTTGATAATCTATCAGACTTAAACTTGACAGTGTCAAGGTTAATTGCTGAGGAAGGGAAAAAGTTAATGATGCCCATTGTTAGATCTGTAACTAACTTGCTGGGTGACCATTCCTCTCTCTGAAGCTCTGTTTCTCCTTTTGTGAAATGTCAGCATTGGATTTGCCATGCCTATGTGAACAGATTATGTGTTAGATTGGATTTAATTCCCTGGGTCTTCTGGGTCCTGAACAGTAGGCCATGCCTACTATGTGCTCTGTGCTCGAATAACTGAGACATCAGATGGAAAGTGCATTCGTCCTCCTGGAGCTCCCCCTATCCCCCTTCCCTCACTCCATCCATGGTGGACATTCCTCGTTGACCCCAGAGCCTGGATGTGGCCCTAGAATGCTTAACACATTTCTTCAAGTACCAGTTGATCAGGGTTGGCAAAGGAGATGAGATCCTTTTGCCATGATTAAATTACAATCATCTTTCAGCTCAGAGAGTCCAAGAATTGAGTGGAGTACTCTGTGTGAGGCTGGCTCTGGCTGGGATGTTGGGCTGGAGTTGATGAGTCACTGCCTCCTGGTGAGAGAGAGGCCAGCAGCTTCCAACAAGACCAGGAAGGAAAGGGAGATGGGATGGTGGCCCCAGGAAAGCCCCAGGCAACTCCCCGATTAATCATTTAGCCATGGAGCTCAGGTGCCCATGATGCATACTGAACATCGGGTCATAATGGGGCCCATTAAAAACCAATTAGGCTCAGTCCACAGTCTAGGAGATGCTACTGGCTTCAGCAGAGCTTCTGGGGCTCAACCCTACTGGGCTGGGACAAAGAACTCGGGAGGATTGTATCACTCAGTTCTCTGGTATCACCCAAGGGCAGGAGGAGGAAGACGGATGAGCTATGAGCTGGCCCTGCGGGTGGGAGGGTGAAGAGCTGAGTGGGCGGGAGGCAATGTTCTGCACATAGACCCTTCTCTTTCTTAGGTGGAACTCTGAGGCCAGCTGGTGAGCAAGTGAGCTGGGGAGAAGGGGAGGAGGTCGGAGGGCCAGGAGTGATGGGCAAGACCAGACTATCAAGGACCGTGAATGCCAACAAGATGGTTGTAAATTCCCTGGTACTTGAGCAGGGAAAATGACATGATGACATGCGGAAAAGCCCCTTCCCCTCTCTGAACCTCAGTTTCTCCATAGTGATGGGAAGGATTGAACAGGATGAGCTGAAAAACACTTGGAGGCTGTTGGGGCCATGCAGTCACTTAAGTGAGAGGCAAAGAGGGGAGAATAACATGAAACCCCATGTATGTAGGAATTGGGGAGGGGAGGACCAAAGGGATGGGGGAGATGCAGGGAAAGGAAGTGATGATGTAAAAATCCCTGTCTGTAGAGCTCATCACTGTGGACCCAGCATCAGGCTGTGTGCCCGATGAATAGGGAGACTTTCATCCTGGTGGAAGCCCATTGCCCTAGCGTGTTTATTAATGGCTTCTCCTTTCACTCTCAGAATTCCCTGGTTTCAGTGATGCATCTTATCATCACCATATTTATAATTACTACCTCATCTAATCCTCCTCAAAACCCTAGAAGGAAGACACTATTATTGCCACGTTCCAGAGAAGGAGCTCAGATCCTCAGAGAGGCCCAATAACTGACACAGGGCCGCACAGCCGAGTAGATGCTTCGGGGTGGCATGAATCGGCAGAGCACTGGGATGGCAGCCAGGAGGTCCCATGTAAATAGTGATAGTAACACTCACATTTCCTGAGAACCTAGTATGTGCCCGGTACCGGTCTGAATACTCTATGTGAATGATTTCATTTAATCCTCCCAGCATGAGGAGGTGGATATGATCATCACCCTCATTATCACCAGGAGACTGAGTTTCAGAGTTCACTCACTTGCCGCACAGCCAACAAGGGGCAAAGTCTGCATTTGAGCTCAAGTGTGTGCCTCCGAAATCAGGCTCTGAGTTGCTGTGCGGACTGAAAAGAAGCCTGGACAAGACAGCGAGAGGAAGAAGGGGAGGATGGCAGTCAAGCCGGGGGGGACTGTGAGGCTTGGGGTGACAGGCAGGTGAAGGGAGCTGTCTTACCACATCCTTTCCCTTGCTTGGGGGGCACAGCCTCAGCCCTGGGGTTGGTGAGCCTTCAGCCCTGGGCTGGAAGCTCACCCTGCGTATCCCAAGGGTGAAGGCCCCGGGGCTGACAACAGGCTGCTCATTCTGTCCTCAGGGCCTTGGGTGCACTGTTAACTGGAAGGGTCCGAGAGCAGGTGCTGCCTCTCCCATCCCCTCCCTGGTTCCCATTCAGGGGCTGTGTGACAATCTTCACATCAGCACACTCTGGCCGCAAGGGGTAGTCTTGTAGGGAGGAGGACTGACAGGAGTCCTTGGGGGTAATCAGAGGCACTTGCTTCAGCAAACCACAGACTATCCAAACCATCAGAGTCCTTCTGGGCCATTTCACAGAGAAGGAAATAGACTCAGAGAGGCAGTGGGTGGGGGTGGGTGGTCAGTGGCTGGTCTGCCTGCCCCTGTCAGAGGCCACACACACCCTCCTCTTTCTCACTCTGTGGAAGGAAAGAAGTTAAGAAGGAAAGGCAGGCTTTGGAATGTGACAGCTTGAGAGAGGGATTATGGAGTGTGGACTGTCGGGGTATGGGCAGGTGACAGGGTGCTGATCCCCAAGTGCAGGCCCAGGACGCTGAAGAGCATCAGCTTCCCTTCCCATACCCCAGTCAAGAGATGGGGAAAGACATTCATTCATTGATTCATTGATTCAACCAATGTTCACTGAGCACCTACTATGTCCTGGGCCCTGAGCCAGGCTCTAGCAACCCAAAGAGGAGGAAACTCAGGCCTCGCCTTCATGGAGCTCTCAGTCCAGTGGTGGAGAGAGATATGTAAGCAAACAACTATAACACAGCATCCCTGCTCACAGATTAGGGACAGAAGCCTTCATCTTAGCAAAATTTGAG